GTGAGGCATTGAATTATGACATAATGCAAAAACGCTATATTTTTTCGCGTCAATCTGAAAAACAATTTACCATAAAAATAGAAAAAACGTGAATTTTGGACAAAAGAGTGTTGAAACACCTTAACCAAACATTTTCAAAATGTCACTGAAAAATTGTACTTTTGCGAAAATTGTCGATCAGATTGATGAGAAAAAATATACCGTTTTTGCGTTGTTTTGGCATTATTCAATTGCTCACGAAGTTTCCGGGTGTAGTGATTATTTTTTCTGCATTTTTTCTACAGTTTTCTGATCTCTTCTAAAACTTTACAAAAAATACAGGAAAATGGTCGCAACATCCTGAAACTTCGTGAGGCATTAAATAATTGAATAACGCAAAAACAATATATTTTCCGCATCAATCCGATCGACAATTTATCAGTGACATTTTGAAAATTTTTGGTTTTTCGGGGTGATAGTTGTATTTTTTTTTCACAGAAATACAGGCACAAAGCAAGTGGAAATCTCTGGTGAAGAAATTTAAGAGTGAAAATGCTCGTGTTCAGCTTCGTCGATCAGGTGACGGTTTAGAGGACACCTACAAATCAACTTGGCCCTATTACGAGTCGCTGACATTCCTAGGCAGCTCAGTTCTCCCCAATTTCTCAAGTGGAAATTTGGAAATCGGTGGTGACGTCAAGCCGGAGCTGAACGACGTCGTGACTGAGGAATCATCCTGTAACGAAGTTGTTCAGAAAATGTCAAAAAAACACTGCGACATTGCTGAGGAGATTCTACGTATGCATAACGAAAAATTCGCATTGTTGGAAAAATCTGTGACCAGCAATGTACGTGGGACCAGTTCACTGGAAGATGACAAACACAACATGGCATTTTTTGAAACCCTTCTGCCGACATTGCGGGAAGTCCCCAAAGAGGATATTTTGCTCTGCCGGAATGACGTTTCCCAGGTGATTTTCAAGTACGCCTACAAAAATGCTACTTGGAAATCGATAAATGACTCTGGATCTTCTGACAGTTCGCTCAACAGATCAACATTACCAAAGAGGAGGAGACAATTGGCAAATGAAGATGATGGTAAGAATCTGAATATAATTTAATAATGATTGAATTGAAAAAGTAGAATAATTTTATTTTCATTTTCTCAGATTGCCAAATCATAAGCTCCTGTTCACCTCGCTCAGCCGTCAAACACAATGCTTTTGTTAAGAAGGAGAAGAAGTATGAGCCCACAGCGAAAGAACGTGAAATGGAGCATCGGAATAGCGGTAAATTTTTTAAATCTATTTGATAATATCCTATTGGTAGAAAAGATTACAATTTAATTAATGAATGTTGACTATAATTTTCAGAAATGATTCGACTTGGGTATGACAGGTTTTCATATCCTCCTCAACCTCTCTGGAAGTGGGATCATATGTACCAGCAGCAATTTCCTCGATACCCTACACCACGTCATCTTCATTCGATGGAGAATCAGGAGTGGTTCGGTGAAGATAGGACTCCAAGACCAATGCCTCAATCTGCTGCAGACCCTGCTAGGTTCACAAACCCACCTCTACCAATCCAGCCTCTTTCTGCATCTGAGCCAGTCGCGAAGCAAAGGCTGGTATGTGAGGAGCATTCTCTCATTTCGACTGCAACCATGACGCAGCTTGAAGTAAACAAGGAGAATCAGAATATGGGATCTGAGAGTGGCCGAGATCCTGCAGTGGATTAAACTTTGGCTTTTTGGGAGTTTTCTTGGGAGATTGGTGATGTTTTACGGTATATTTAATTTTCAGAATGTTACCTCATTTCCACGGTTTGGAATAATTATATTTTGATAAGAAAAAATAATACTTGCTGAGTTTTGAAACGCATTCAAAGAAAAATACTTTTTGTTTCCAAAGTTTAAAAAATGCGATTACTAATCGTTGAATTATTATTAAAGTTAATTATACTTTTCTTTATAAAGATGCCAAATGATAATTTATAATGATTTATTTACAAAAATACAAAGTATTTATCGTTAATTGACTTCAATTATTTTATAAGTTTTGAAGATCACAGAAAATAATTGTATGATCATTGTTCAAATTCAGTGTTCAATAAAAAAAATTCAATCAAATCTTATCTTGTAACCATTGATACTTTATTTATATTTTCACCAAAAAAGCATAGCCGTCTCATAATATTCTTATTTTACAATTTTATTTTTATCACGATTTGTTGCAAGCAGACTTGCATCTCGCCATTGTTCTAGGTCCTTCAGCCATGTATTTATTTCAATGAATAATTTATCAAAAAAAAATTGGAGGTCTCCTCACAAACAGCATAGCAGGAGACATCGCTGAGGATTACGACAAGGATTTGCAGCTACAACAGCTGAAGAATGATGTTTTGCAGACCATCTGGTACAATCAGGATTTGTCACACCAGTTGGACAGCATGAACATCAAGATTGGACTGCTCATCCAGAACAGAATAGTCCTGCAGGATGTAATTGCTCATGGGTAGAATGTGGAGACACTTGCCAAAGAGAAACAGCATCAATTTAGAAAAAATACAGTCTCTGAGAATGTGAGCAATCGCAAAGGCCTGAAATCCTTGACGAAGGAGGGGAGGAAGCGTTTGAGGGATATCAACAATTGTTCTACGCTTTACAAACAAATACTGATTTTTTATCGAAGTTGATATTCTTGATACCCCAGAGCAAAA